AGAGCTGAATTTCTGACCCATGTCAACTTCTTTCTCTTTGAAGAACTTCTTTTAACTTTTCTTTCAAGGCAGGTCTGCTGGCAACAAATTCCCTCAATTTTTGTTTGTCTGAGAAAGTCTATTTCTCTTTTACTTTGGAAGGATAATTTTGCAGAGTACAGAATTCTAGGTTGGTAGTTTTTTTTCTCTCAAAACTTTTAATATTTCATTCCACTTTCTTCTTGCTTGCATGGTTTCTGTGGAGAAGTTGGATGCAATATTCTTATCTTTGACTCTCTATAGGCAAGAAGTTTTTTCCCTCTGGTTTCTTTCAGGATTTTTTTTCTTTATCTTTGATTTTCTGCAATTTGAAAGTGCTATATATGCCTTGGCGTAGAGTTTTTGTTTTTGTTTTTTTGTTTTTTGAGGCATTTATCTTGCTTGGTGTTCTCTGAGCTTCCCGGATCTGCAGTTTGGTGTCTGGCATTAATTTGGGGGAAATTCGCAGTCATTACTGTTTTAAATATTTCTTCTGTTCCTTTTTCTCTTTCTTCTCCTTCCAGTATTCTTATTAATCATAGGTAGCATCTTTTGTAGTTGTCCCACAAACCTTGGATACTCTGGTCTGGTTTTTTTTTTTTTTTTCCTTTCAGTTTTTGTGCTCTTTGCTTTTCAGTTTTGAAGATTTCTACTGACATAGCCTCAGGCGCAGAGATTCTTCCCTCAGCTGTGTCCGGTCTGCTAATAAGCCCATCAAAGACATCTTCATTTCCATTACGAGTTTTTCATTTCCAGCATTTCTTTATGGTCCTTTCTCAGAATTTCCAGCTCCCTGCTTACATTGCCCATCTGCTCTTGCATGCAGTCTACTTTATCCACTAGCGTCCTCAGCACATTAATCACAAACATACATGATTACATGTTCTAAATCACACATACATACAACACATGTTTTAAAGTCCTGGCCCGACACTCAATAAATTGACTGACTTTATAAATAAAGATATTTGAAAAGGCGAGAAGTGTGAATATAATTTATTTATCTTCTTTGGAATCCAACTATAAAAGGCATGATGAGAACAAGCTAACATGCTCTGTTGTTTGATCCTTAGTTTGCCTGAGCTGACGCTCCTTGCCATCCTACCTTCTTTAGGGATGGGCAGGAAATTCCGCTTACCCTGGTTTCCCTTGCTCTATCCTGTGCCTTTTGTTTTCATTCAGCATGTCATTTACTTGTCATGAAATAAGATGCTATTTGAGACTGACTAGAGCTTGCGGTGTTTACATTTATTCCTAATCATAGAGGTTATAGCTAATTATGACAGCCAATCACCGTTATGGAACTACAGACCCCTCAAGCATCCTGTAACAACAACAACAACAAAATGACAAACTTGAAAAGCACAGTAAAAGTGGTGCCAGGCTTCCTGTGAGGCCTGGAGTGGCAACGGGAGAAGGAGACTGTGCAGGAGAGGAGGAGCTTCAGCTGGACACACAAGAGGCGGGATTTTTGCTGCATCGCTGGATAGATGCATGTGTTTGAGCAAGATCCTTCAACCAAGACTCTGTCTCCTCATCTATAGCAATGCAATGAACAGTTCCTCCCTCACAGGACTGATGAGGATTGCATCACACGACACATGCCAAGTGTAAAGCGCAGCGTCGTGGGAGAACGGAAAGAGTGAAGTCTTGGGTGAAGGGCCTTTCCAGGATTCTCAGGTCTTGACCTCTCTGGATGAGGCCCAAAGCATCCCAGATTCCCATCCAGGAACTGTTATGGCTTGGCTGTAGGACATTATAGTATAAACACAAAGGGAGAAGAAAAGTCCGGATGTAGAACAAGAGCATAAACAAGGAACTATGACGTCTCGCTTCAGGGTCAGTATGGAACAACTTGTTAGACAGTTGACTGTGTCCAACTTAATTTACAGGAAACCCTAGAGAGGGATGATACTTTCAATTTGCTTGATTGCACCTTCAGCTCTTTGCCAGCCAGTGTCTAACGCTTCCCAGACTAAGAGAAAAACAGCCACTTTCCATAGCAGCAAGTCCTTATGAAGCATGCTTGTGGCCTGGGGAGGCACTGGTTCCAGCTGACCAAGGGAGATGGCTGCCACACTGGCTGAGGGTTTCCGAGAGCCCAGCCCCATGCTGTGCATTTTCCATGCAAAATGCAAAATGTTAGTTATGGTTAACAGGAGTCATCTAGTGAGTTAGGCAGTTAACGCTAGGTCCCACTTTTTTCTAGAAAGGATATCGTGTTGCCAGTGAGGGCCAGTGTAGCCTGCCGCAGGCCAGTGAGTCATCACTCCCGGTTAGTTGCACTCTGTACTGGAGAGCAGGGTTCCTGGGTGCACGGGGCAGAGGAGCATCCTTCCTTCCAGATGCTGAGGTCTTTTCTCCCCTGTGCTCCCACTTTGGGACGGACCCTCAGTCTCTCTCCCTTGGAGCATAAGTACCCCCTGCCTGTTCTCCACCCTCCAGCTCCTCATCCTGGCAGTTAAAGTCCTGACCAGTTTGGCCCCAGCCTACTTTTTCAACTTTACATCCTGCTGCTTGTCAGTGTGATCTCTTCCCAGCCTCAACTGCATGCTTCCACTCTTTGCTTTCAGTTCTCCAGCCCTA